TCAGGAAAGCGCGCGCGCGTGCTCTCTCTCTCTCTCTCTCTCTAAAACAACAACAATAACAAAGAAAACAAGAGCTCATTCATCTGTGGCATTTTCCTATTTTAGTATTAGTTAGAAAATGTAAGTTGGTTTACAGCATAAACATAAATAAGCATAGGAAAAAGGGTTACTGTCTCTAGTAAGGAATTGTGACTTAGAACTGATAGTATTTTTCAGCTATCAAGTTAACAAGATTCAAAATAATGTCCAGAGTTATGCAGGATAAAGGTGTCTCTAAAGTGGGAGTGTACAGCATTGTCCCATTCAGAAGGAAGAAATATTTATCAAAATTCTTTTTAAAATGCACAGTAATTATATTTCCAGGAGTTTGTCCTAAGAAAATGTTTAATAATGTACACAGAGATTTAGCTACAGGGATAGTCATCAAAGTGTTGTCTCTGATTAGGGGAGAGGGGAAAAAAAAAACTTGAAATGACATAAATATGAACTAGCTTAAATTGCTTATGGCAAAATCATATAAATGGAACATTTACATAGAGAGATATTCACAAAATTTAATTTTAAAGGATGTGTTAGAAAATAATACCACATTTTAGTGAAATAAACATGTGCATTTAGGTGTGTATTTGGTTTGAGAAGAATGTAGATAACTTTTCATGTTTTACTCTGGAATTACAAGACATTTTCCCCCTCTTTTGTTTTCTTTCCTGTATTTCTAATTTATATTTTTGTGGCTTTTAACCAGAAGAATTAAAAAGTGTTATCTTTCAAAAAGACAGGGTCTTTCTCCTAAGGTGGACGATGGAAGAGATAGAGGTAAAGCCTAAAGAAAAAGTCACCTTGCCTCTTTCAGTTCTATATTTTCTGTTGTTTTTAGATGAAAACTCCAAGTTAGCAAATTGCCATTTCATGCATAATGACTGCCCTGTTGTGGGCAAGCTCAGTTATTTGGGAATTGATTATTCATTAAACAAATATGTAACTACTCATGTCCCTTATATAAAGACAGAATATAGGGCCTTTATTTCCTGAGAGTTTCCCTGTGCCTCACTTGTTCTTTCTGGCACTTTATAGACCCTTCATCAATGGGTTTAAGGCAACTGTATATATAATTTATCCATACCACTCAGTTTGTCCATTTTTAATAACTACAGTTAAAATTCAAGTGTTAAAGTAGTTGAGAACTATTGGCCACAGTTTGAAAAAAGAACAGGTTTTTTTTTCCCCCTTTTTCCCCCATGTCAACAACTAAGGAAAACCAAGTATAAGGAAAACCACTTGAATTTGCAAGTATAATAATCTTTGTTTTCTCATTTTAATAAATAATACATTTGAACAAATTAAGAAAAATAGACCAGCAAAAGGAAAATATATTAAAATTACCTATAATCCCATTGCTAGGGAATAACTATCCTTAACATTTATAAGCTTATTGTTCCAGGCTATTTTTATTCTAAAATATGCATGTATACATAGCTTATATAACTTGAATCACAGTGTGCCTGTTTTTTGATGAGCCTTCATCTCGTTCAAAAGTGAGTCACGAAGACCTTTCATGGATTACTATCGTATAGCATAAATATAATGGCAGCAGGATGATCAATGTGCCAAGCTGACAAAATTTGTTGTTTTTATTTTTTATTTTGAAAATTTAGACTCACAGAATGGTTGCAGTAATAGTACAAAGAAAGCCTAAAATCCTTTCACCTAAATTCTGTAAATGTTAACTTTTTACTGCTCATGTCTCTCTGTTTGTGTATGTTTCTCTTTTAGCCATTCTCTGTTTATGTGTGTGTATTATACTTTTATTTTTTAAACCATTTAAAAGTAGGCTGCAGACAATACAGTGCCCCCTTTACCTCTAAATTGACTGCAACTTTCTAAAACAAAGGACGTTTTTACATAAAGACAGTACAATTACTAAAATCAGGAAATTAACATTGATGGGCTATCTCTCCTGATACAGACTGTATACTTTCTCAAATTTTTCTAATTATACCATTAATTTCCTTTATAGGAATATTCTTTTTTTATCCAGGACCCAATCAAGGATCACACATTGCATTGGTGAATTGGGGAAGAGTCAGATCACAGTGCACATTCAAATGTAGGTTTATTCTCCCTCCAGAAATTTTAAAGTCCTTTTCTATTCATTTTTAAGGGCAGTGAGGAGGTCTGGTAAACTGCATTTCAGAAATGCTGTCATAATGGGTTTTAACACCTTTTACTGTTCTTACCGGTGCTATTTTGTAGAATAAGGAACAATATTGACAGGGCTTATGGGAGGTATTTTCATACCCTTTTTTAAAAAAGATCTCAGACTTCCATTTTTATATTCTAACGTTTTCATATATTTTTTTTTTTTTTGTAACTGGAGCCATGTAATATGTATAAGGGAAATGTTTGCTTTGTTTCAAGAGTTTTGCTAGTTTTTAGGCAGAAAGATAACAGTTGCCTAGAGTTTACCTTATGTTGAACTAAAATCAGTATTCCTTGGGGCACCTGGGTGGCTTAGTTGGCTGGACATCCAACTCTTGATTTCAGCTCGTCATGATCCCAGGGTTGTGGGATCAAGCCCCGTATAAGGTTCTGTGCTGAGCATGGAGCCTGCTTAAGATTCTTTCTCTTTCTTTCTCTGCCCCACTCATGCTTTCTCTCTGTCTCTCTAAAATAAGTAAATAAATATCAGATTTCTCTTTAAAAAAAAAAAGGGTGTCAGTCAATTAAGAATTTCTTACCTAATCCTTAAAAAAAAAGACATTGGGGGTTTTAAGCAGGAGGTAAGATTCTCAGATTTTGTTTTGTTTGTTTTAAAAGTCATTTCCCTGGCATTACAGAAAATGGTTTTGAAGAAGCTGTTTTAATAAATTCTTAGAATAGTGGAAGATGAGAGGACAAGGCAGAGACTGGTGATGGGGAGGAGAGAAAATAACATAGATCAAAGCCCAGTATGCAAAGTCACCCCTGCTCCAATACTCCACTGTGGGAATAGAATGGTTTAAATTTGTGATGCCAGACCTCTTACCACTAATATGAAAATTCACGTACAAGAAAGAGGACACAAAACGTTCCCCACCTTCAACTTACATTTGCGAAGAATGTTTTAATTGAGTCTCATTTCTTAGTGAAAGATGATAGCTCAGTCTCACGTCTTCCGCTTTCATTTCTAAAAGTCTTTTTATACCGCCACAGTCCCCTAGTGCTATACATCAAATTAAGGCAGGCCTTGAGTGTCAGCCCAAAAGGCTTTACTTTAATATTTAGTGTAATGTTGGAGATCATTCCTAGTCTTTTTTTTTTTTTTTTTTTTTTTTTTTTTTTTCAACGTTTATTTATTTTTGGGACAGAGAGAGACAGAGCATGAACGGGCGAGGGGCAGAGAGAGAGGGAGACACAGCATCGGAAACAGGCTCCAGGCTCTGAGCCATCAGCCCAGAGCCCGACGCGGGGCTCGAACTCACGGACCGTGAGATCGTGACCTGGTTGAAGTCGGACGCTTAACCGACTGCGCCACCCAGGCGCCCCGATCATTCCTAGTCTTGTACATGATTCAAATAACTATTTCTTTAGTCACCTACAGTGCTAAACTTTTGTCATCTAACAAGATAAATTAAAGAATAAGCAACAGCCTATTGAGTTGAAAAAAAAATACGCACAATGTATTATTTTACAATCCCATGAAGGCTAAAGAGCTTACCCTAACAAAATATATCCATCAATTAAATTTTAAAGTCTTGCCTGAAAACTTACTATGCTACACATTTCAATTTGCACCTGAATCTTCTGGAACTAATTTAAAATGCAGATTCTGATTCCATGGGTTTGGGATAATGTCTAAGATTCTTATCTTTAACATTCTGCCCAGGGTATCCATTCTGCTCATTCTCAGACCACATTCTAAAGAAGAATATAGAAATCATCTATTACTTCTCACTGTATTGTAGGTTTTTACTTGAAAACAGAGGTTGGAACTGCAAGTTAGAAAGAACACACACAGGGCTGGAGTCAAGACAAGGAGTCTAAGACCTGTTTGCCATCAACAAACCAGGTGACTCGGGGTAGATCCTGTGATCGTTGTGGGCCTCAGTTTCCACAATGTGGACATCTGCAACAGAAAAGAGAGCTGTTTTTCTACGACATAAGGTATGTTTTTAATAAAAATTTAACAAAAATCCAACCTTCAGAATGAACAAGCTTGAGTTGGTTTAATTGCAGTAAACATATTTATTTAAAAATGTTAAATGTTTTCCTTCTGAGAGTGCAATGCCAAATAGCTACCATATGATTATAAAGAAAATGAAAAACAAAATTACCTTCCTGAGAAAGTGACCCTTTCTCTTTATGAAGTCACAGGCCGAATGAGACAGTAAACAGAGAATGTGGCCAAAGAGTCATGATTCAGGAGATTAAAATATCCCTTCTCAGAAATGGATACACTACTTTTCTGCCTCAGGCACAACTTTCAGAAAAATATATTCTTTGAATTTGGAATGAAGCAATTTTTCATTTCATTTCAACATCTGGCTCTGAAATGAGGGGAGGCAAAGAAACATTGCACCATGTCTTGCTTGAAGAATCATTCAGATTCATAGTGGCAGAGTTCCCCAAGAAATAAATGGGATCCAACTGGAACATCCCAAATCCAATATATATAGACACTGTACAGAAGATTATATCTTAAAAATCTGTAAGTGGTAAGCTGAAAAAGATGAATGTTTAAAAATGAGAGAGAGAGAGAGAGAGAGAGAGAGAGGTGACAGGGCATTTAACTCTCCAGAGTCTCATCCGTTCACTCTCAGTCTTTGGGGTCAGCTGTGCTTTTGGAGAAGCCGCGTTTCCAGGGGTCCTTTTGCCAGCTGCCTGAGTCCTGTTGCTTTTGATCACTCTCTCTGACGGATGTGATGTGATTCTTTTTGCCAGCTCTTCCCTCTGAGTCTGCTAACTCGGCACTCGCTGCTCTCACCTCAGTAGCAGGACTGCCTCTCTCTCAGCAAGAGCTCTTAGTCCTGCCAAAGGCCAACACCCCCTGGTGGCCCCCGCACCTCCTGACAGCCCAGCTCCCTGGCAGATGAAGCTCTCCCTCTGGTCCCTGTGTCAGATTCAAAGTCCTGACCAGCTTCCATCAGCAGAAGCTGCCTCTTAATTGCTGTAGATCAAAAAGCATTGAACATGTCAATTAAAATAGAGTGGAAGAGGGCAGACAAAGATAGGGAAGATCTGGCATTTACCAAAATAACCCATTTCCTGCTGGGCTGATGGCTTTCTTTATGCCTCATGGTTCTACTTGATTAATGGGCAGGTCGTTTCTCCAGCAACACCACGAACACAGCAATCGATTTCAGGGTCTGTCTGATTTACCTGACTCTCTGGCTTTTTTCTTTCCTATAATCCATTCCATTCTATAGCAAAAGGGTTTGTCCCTAGAACTACACATATTTCCATTAGAAGAGAACCCGCTCAAGCCACATGCAGATGTGAAGGAAGTAGCCTCATTGCTTTTGACTCACCTCTTATCAGTCCCTTGTACTTTCCTATTATATTCCATCAACATGGCTAAAATATAATTTTCAGAGCTAGAACAGGGCTTCACTACATAGTCTAACAGATGAGTAAAGTGAGGCTCAGAGAGGTGAACTGACTTGCCCAAGGCTACACAGAAACTGTACTTACTAACTCACTTTCTAGTCGGTGCCTGCTTCCATTTTACAGCTATGTTGCTACCCTAGCCATATTTCAAGAACCCGATCTAAGACCTAGAGAAGCAATCGCCAGGAAACGTGCTGGTTAGAAGCCAAGCCTACTACGCCACATTGCCCCTGCCAATTACTGGCTTCCTCCTCTGCAGAGTGGGTAGTTCATGGTCATCATGGAATTGCTGCGAACATTAAGATTGTTAGTGTTGGCAAATCTCTCTTGTCCTCACAATAGCAAGTCTAGTTTATGCACTGCTTCTTAAGTGTTCAAAGAAAGTTGATGGGTTCAGGAAACACTACCCCCAAATATGGCACCTTGGCACATTGAATGTCTTAAGCTGCAGGAGTTTGAGAAAATGGCAGGATTGGGAAGTTCTCTCTGACCTCCCTCTTGCCTTTCTTCCCTGAGACAGGGACCTCTGAAAGGTACTGTCCCTACATCAGGAGGAACGGGGAGTCTCTTATGCATGATGGGAGTTTGGGATCAAGAAATCTTTACCAACAAACCTTGTTAAACTAACCCTTATGTTCCTAGTTACCTCTTCCCCATTTATTATTCCTAACCCAGCCTCCTCTGCTTCATCAGTTCTTCACAGATCTATTCTTTCTTTGTCTAAAAGGTATAAAAGCCCCTGCTCTGGTCATTTCTTAAGGTCTTTATACTTCTGTGGGGGCTCCCAGGTACATGTAAAAATTCAGTAAAATTTGTATGCTTTTCTCCTGCTAAATCTATCATTTCAGACCCAGCAAGGGATCCTAAGAAGGTCAAAGATAACTTTTCCTTCCTTAAAAAGTAAATGTATGTATTGTTCATTAGATTTATGTAATGTAGGGACAATGGTCCCTAATTTGGTAGATCAGCAGATTGCCAAGTTTTATTTTCCAAGTAAGCAAATACAAAAAAAAATCCACTTACTAGCACATCTATCTTGTAAACTAAAGAACACTAAAATTCACAGTAGGAAAGGTATAATTTGAAAAGTAAAAATCCTCCTCAAAAAGTAATAATACTTTTGCTTCTGATGAAAAAAGTGTTGTCATGGGCCAGTGTCAGTACAAACACTGCAGTTTAGTTTGCAAGCCCACTGTCTCCCACTCATCTTCAAGGAGGAAGCACGCTGCCAGAGGCTGTGTGGCCTCTTCCCTCCAGCCTTCCCACGTGAGCCGGGAGATGTAAGGCCTCCGGGGCCTTAACTGTGAACATAATTTCCAAGTTCCTAAATGAAGCAGCTGCCAGTCACCCAAGCCTTAGCCAGTGTTCTTCAAATCTGCACATAAATCCAATTTTCCAGAGTCAGGATCTCCCCAAATCATCAAAGGTAGACAATGGGCAAATATACAAAATGAATGTAACCTGGAAAAAGAGCAAGCCCTGCCCTTTGTTGCAAAATTCATCCACATTGCTGGGGAAGTTCATAAGAGTGGTACACGAGAAAGCAGATGGAAGGCTTAACAGAAGGTCTGTGGGTTCTAATTGCATGAAGTAAACGCCCGAACCTTGTATGGTGATGGCCCTACTCAGTTTTGTGGAATTCAGACCATGCCTGGAGGTGAGGTACCAGTAGGGACAGAACAGATGAAAATAGGCAAAGAGGCAATAAGAAGTGCAAAGGCCCTGGGGCATGTTGTAAAAGGACACTGTCAGACTAGGGGTGTCTTAGAGGAGTGGAACATCAGG